ATCAAGAGACTACAACGGACAGTTAGGACTGCTGAGAGGATTATTGGTTCCTCCTGCCCAACCTCCAAGATTTTTACACTTCCAGATTGAGGAAAGGGGCTAAGAAAATCACTCTGGACCCCACACACCCAGCCCACTCTCTCTTCGAACTGTTGCCTTCTGGTTGGCCCTACAGAGCACCGACCACCAGAACAGCCAGGCATAAGAACAGTTTTTTTCCCGCAGGCCATACTCAGCCTGAACAATTAAAAAGTTCACAACTACACACTGTCCATCATAACTGACACTTTTTATACATAGTATCTGGAAACTGTATATTGTAAATTACATAAACGGTACACTTGTAAATAACATATCTGTACATTAATTTAAACAATTATATGTTTTTCTCTATATTTATATTTATATATATAGTGCATTATTTATTTGTCTTTTTTTCTTATATTAGTGTTATTTCATCTTTACTGTGTAATTCTATGTATGTCTGCACTATCATGTATGTTTGATCAAATTCCTTGTGTGTAAACATACTTGGTAATAAAGCTCCTTCTGATTCTGATTCTGATTCAGTGACTGCATTTTCAGGTGTAGCAGGATAGTGGAGGGGTACTGAACTGTAATCCATTAGGTGTCATAGAGCTTTATCATTTAGGCTTGTGAGTGCAAATTAGTCTTGCTTTATATCATTATGTCCCAATGTATTATCTCTCTTCATAAATTGCACTACATTTATGTCATACCACTACCTCATTTTATCATATTAACTCTCTCTAGATCATTAACTTTCTCTCTTTCTCTCCCATAAACTAACTGAAGTAAATTAGAAGCCATTGGTATTCAGAAGATATCAACACTGCAAAGATACTTTTGTAGTCAGATTTTTTCTTCTTATTTTCGAGTAAAAAATATCTAAAATATTATTTATAAAAAATTTTAAACAATATGCATTTACTCAAAAAGTAAAAAAAAAAAAAAAAAAAAAATTATATAAAGACTTTCAGAGAATATATTTGATTAATTAGTTATAATTATATTTGCATATCAGTTTGTTATTTTCTAATTTTTTTCAAACAAACTTTGTCTTGCACAACAGCAGCATTGCTAATGACCATTAAATATGAGTGTAAACTCTTGATCTAGAATGATACCTAATTTTTCTGTTTTTGTTTGTGAAAATAAACTTATTAGATGAGTTGACTGATGTATCTGTAATCTCATGGGTTTTGCTGGATCTACTGCTTGTATCTAAATCGAAACACAACAGTTCTGACTCACTGATGATACTGTACATATTTGGCAGGTAGCCTGTATCAATCAAAATCATCACTTTTGTAGAGTTTTGCATGACCTTGTAAAGTATTTTAAAAAGTTTTATTTAGATAGATTTCGTTTTTTATATATATAATTTCAAAAAGTAAGCAGTCTAGAAGTCTAGAAGTGTCGTTCAGAGCAGTGGGATTGAACAGGTGCAGGGGAGCTAAAGAGGAGTCTGAAGGTTAATTCAACAGTGCCGAGTGCAGTTCGCGTGTGTGCGTGTATCACTGAGTGTTTGTGTGTAAGTGTGAGCCGTGGCAGCTTCATTAAATGGTTAGCAGTAAAAATAGCCTGAGATGTGTGCGCTCAGACAGTGTGATGTAATGGCAACTGAGTCTCTGGTGTGAGTCTGTGTGTGGCAAAGAACATTTTTGAGGTGCTCAGGCTTTGTGGGATAGATTGGGATGGGATGGCATTTTTTAATGGGCACACTGGAGGATCGTTAGCTGTATGCAAACCAATAGTCCTTGGAGGAACTCTGTGTTTGGAACGGAGCATGAATATTGAAGCAGAAGTTTTGCTCCTTTTTTTCTACTGTATATATATATATATATATATATATATACATATTCATAATCTTTTATATATACAGTCTAAGAGCATTATATATAATTGTATAAATATTTTATGATTATTATTATTTATTTATTTAGTATTTATTATTGAACGCAAAGATGAGATACATATAATATATTACATATATATCTCTACATATATAATGTTACTATTATTATTCAATGCAAACACATGACACTAAGCAGTTTGCACCAAAAAATAAATATACAATCAAATATTATTTCTTATTTATTTTGTTTTTTACAATATATATAT